GTTGTGATCCACCCTGAGCTTGCTCTGCTTTGCTTGACTGGTCTTGTGACCCCTTGTTCTCCCCCACTTTGCCTATGGGGGTGTGTCAGAACATTATAGCTCATGCATATTGTGTAGGCTATAGTGGGGTAGCCCATAAGGGGTACAACCCTAAACGTGCAGAAATGTCAGTCGCAACACCAATGTGCAACCCGAACACCGACGTGTTGGGCAGCGATTTGTGGAGCATCGTGGAGTGCAGATTTTGATTGGCTGAGAGCGAATTGTCAGGTTTGTCGAAGCAACAATGTCGGTTGGATGGTTTGCGCTGCGCCTGCGACTCTGGGCGAACGCGTTTCCGATGATTTTGATAGGCCGAAATTATTGAGACGAACTCAAAACTCACACACGGGTGTCAGATACGGATAAGATTGACGGCAAAACAGTCGCATGCAGGCAAGTGACCTGGCAAGACCACATGGCCGCGTGTCTGAAGTTAAACGTTGACGGATGTACATTATCGTCCAGGAATGTCGGCGAACGTCAGCCCTCCGATCAAGCATTCCGACCGTCAAGATTCTTCGACATCTCAAAGTTTCGTCATGAAACGTCGACGTTCACTCTAGACACGCACTTTCCTCATCGCAGACATAACATATGTATCAAGGTGGTCAAACGGATTCGTTACTACGACATGCAGTCGCGTGTAACCTGTGGTTGTTAGTAACCACATGGAATGCCTTGTATGTCGTATTGTCCTTATATTCCCTATTACATGAGGGCTAATAACCGTGTGTAGATAATTAATTTCGGTTTTGAAGTGATGGAATGGAAAAACAATTAGCTATAAGCCTAACAATCACCATAAGGCAAAAAGACATACTGTGATACTTTTATTCGCATTTTTGGTTATTTATGTTATGTACATTTCTCAGATTTGTAGCAAGGTTCATGGTTTGTTATTTAGCAAATGTACATTTCTCAGATCTGTAACATGGTTCATGATTGGGAGGGAGAAGCAAAAAATGCAGGGGGCAAGCAAGAGACGCAAGTGCTTGCAAGCGAGAGAGGCGGAGGACCTGCAGAGAGGCAGGTACGCGGGGGAAAGGGGCGGGAGAAGCAGCTTCGCTGGGGGAAGTGGAGAATTTAGATGTACACTGCGTACGGGGCGATACGAGGTGGGCTGGGGCGAGAGTCGATAGAACCCATTTTACAGTCCCGTTAAAGTCCAGATTCGTCGTACACTCACAGATTAAGTATGGAATATCAAAAGAGGTACAGCTTCAAAAGGGCTGAATAACCAGAAATCAATAATTAAAAACAATAGGTACACCCAAATATACAAAATATTATAACACATGCCCTCATCTCATGTTTACACAACAGTTTAGACAACGGAAGACACAATTACTCCATAACCTCATGGTACCTGATACCAATTAAGATGTTTTTTTGTGTACAACCTAACAAGTGTAGAAACATTCGCAGATCAATCTTATTCGACAGGGATTCGGACTATTCTAATCGTATTCGTATCGTACGTGGGTCTGTATTCGGCCAAATAAGAATTCACGTACTATTCGACAAATATTCGAATAAACTATTCGTATTCGTATTCGTATTTACAGGCTTACTCCCACCATTCCCCCCTTCCTCTCCCCCCTACCCCTCCTGCATGTATTTCACTTTCCCCTCCTGCACACCACCTGACCCACCTGAGCCCTCCATGCCTGCTGCTGCAGTGGCAGTGGCAATGGCAAGCGGCAGCGGCAGAGGCAGAACGTGGGAATAGTGGGGCGAGAGGGGGTTGAGGGGGAGTTTGGGGAACAGGAGCACTTCTCCCATGCACTGCTGCAGCAGCAGCTGCTGCATCCACCCGCAACGCCTGCTGGAGTAGTATCAGCAGTGGTTGTATCTGTAGCAACTCCTCCCACCCATTCACGTCCTCCAGTGCTCTGCTTATCCTCCCTAACCTCTCCGCCTGCCTTCCAACCATCAGCAGCACATTCTTACACCTCCATCGTGCCGTGCCCTTCACTTCACCTCAGCTCACACTGTATTATCCGTACGGTGTATAAACTAACTGTTCCCTTCCCATCTTGGGTTATCCTCCTCTTCCCGCGATCACCCCCCCATCTGCTCCCCCACCATCCCAGCTAAGCAGCACCACCATAGGCATCGCCCTCTCAGGCACCCCTCTCCCTCCCTCCCACATCACCTACACTGCACCAGGACCGCCTACTATCACCCAATTCTCCCCGCCATGCCCCTTTATCCCTCCTGTGCTGCTCGTATAGATTTCTCCGGTCTATCTATCTCTCAACCTCCTACGCACCTCCCCTCTCCCACCATCCCCCCCGAACACGCTTTCCCCGCTTTCTTGGAGGTTGGTTGATGGTGGCAGCACAGAGGAGTCGCCTGCAGTCCAATTGCCTTCCAAGAATCCCCATCCCACCACTCTTCCCTTGCCCTCTCCTTACTTATCTTCCTCACCTGCTTCTAACAGTCTCCTCGCCATGATGGCATGGTGTGGAGGGAGGTGAGGCAGGCGGAGATGACAGACGAAACATGGCTGCAGTGAGGATAATCAACATCCCAAATAGGGGTCCCGACCCCATATCCCTACCTCTCCCAGGATATGGAGTGTGGGATGAGGTATGGGGTGAGGTATGGGATGAGGTATGGGGTGAGGTATGGGATGAGGTATGGGGTGAGGTATGGGATGAGGTCCTGAGCCTATGGTTGGAGTATTCTACATGTGGGCCACATGAGGAGGCATGTCTGTGATTTTTAGTGGGGAACGGTAGTCTCAAGACAGCTGTGCTTGTACACACCTCATCCCACACCTCATCCCATACCTCATACCTCACCTCATCCCATACATCAAATCGCACTCTCAGGCAGCAACAATCTCTTCATTCCTCCTCGCAAGCCAATCAATGCAGTGAACCGTGGCAGTACTCTCTAACACTGAGCCTCTCCAACCCCCCCCCTCTCTCGCATTTCCCTTTCCCCTCCCCATTTCCCCTCCATATTCCGTCTCCCCACCTCCCTCCTCAAAATCCCCTAACCACCTCCCCCCCTCCCCCCTCACCCCTCCTCCCCCCTTTCCCCCCTCGTTTTCTGTTGTGTGCATTTCGCCTGCTCCCCCCTCTAATATGTATTTTCTCCACCTTCCCGTCCCTGCTCCCTATAATCACTTTCCCACATCCACCAAACCCCCCACCCCATCAATTCAGCTCCTTCAATGACTATCCTCCCTATCCCCTTCTCCTGCCTTTCAGCTGCCCCCAGTTTGATTGTACAATCCCATCATGCCATACCCTTCATCCCATCGTGCCGGTTTTTGTCCTGCATCCTCGTCCTCTTCCGACCATTGCTTTCCCATCTGTGGTGACACACTGCAGCGCATACTGAGAAAATGAAAAGGAGATGCAAGACTTGAGCTCATGCATGCCACTCAAGTCATATCTTTCAGCTCCAGAAATTCACCTCTTCTCACAGTGTTTGCTGCCTGCTGCATATCACGGAAGCTTCATCTATGGCAGGTGGTGTTTGGGAGGTGGTGCGAAAAGCGTTGAGGGGCAAAAAGGTGAAGAGGGAATATGGCAAACAGGGGTGGTTGGGTTGGAGCTCAAGCGAGCAGAATGCACCACATCCGCCCTTTTCTTTCCACACGCAGGCTCACCTCACCTTTTCCTGCTTCACCGCTGGCTTTCCTCCTGTGGCACCCATCCCCCAACAACAATATGCCTTCATAATGTCCTGTACTTTCATAATGACATGTAGTCCTCCAGCAAGCTGTAGACACTAAATAATCACCTTGAATCAGAAATAGTTGGGCTTGAAATAAATAAAGTACTGTGCATTTCCCGTTCTCTTGGGTGTTAATGTAACTTATGCTTCGGTGTATATCACGGTAATTGAGCTCATCCAACAAACATGGTAGGTACATTGATAGTGATGAAAGGTAAACACGCTATAAAAGCAGTGGCTAACAAGCTCTACACACTTAACCCCCAGATTTCCGAGGGGCGAAGGGCAGGCAGCACCCAAAGCTATACATACATGGTTCATGCAGCCTCCCCTCATGTATCTGGTCTCTTTCTCAACCAGCCCTGCACCTCCAACTGCAAGGCACAAGTTCCACATGAACACTCTCCAATTCGCTGCAATATGCAAATCCTTTCCATGACCACCATTTAACCAAACACAACCATCATCCCATCCCGTGCCTCACTCCTCCGCATGCATGCCTCCCCTCATTCTTCACACTCCTTGCCTCCACGCCTCTCCTAGTCTCCTCAACAGTCAGCCAACTCTTCCTTCACCACGCCTCCCTTTCCATCATCAACCCCGGCCACCCTATCTGCTTATCCGCCTGCGTACATCATCATTAGTAAGGTGACCCCCTTTCGGCGTATACAGAGATGTCAGCTTGGTGAGGGCAGTCAGCATCTTCAGCCCATCATCCGTAACTGACGTGCCATCCAGAGAAAGCTTCTCAAGCCCTGCCAGCCTCCCGACGTGCACCATGCCTGCATCCGTCACACCCTTGCAGAAAGAAAGCCGCAACACTTCGAGAGAGGACAGAGCTGCCAAGTGCGGCAGACCGGCATCGGTCACCTTGGTACGATGGAGATAGAGCTCCCTAAGACTGGTCACCAACCCGATGCCTTCCAAGGTATTGTCAGTGATGCATGTGGCTTTGAGGTTTAGCTTCTCCAGCCGTGGCAGTCTGTAAAGGTGCCTGATGCTGTCTGCAATGTAACCTAGGCTAGAGTCCAAGCTTATGCTCTTCAAATGTGTCATGGTGGACACATGGGCGAGCATGGCGTCTGAGAGGCCTTGGAGACTAGCAAAATTCACATCCGTTCCTCGTGGTGCTAGCTTGATTCGCTGGAGGTGATGGACGGTGGGGGAATAATGGCAAGAAAACGAAGGATTGCGTGCCCGTAAAGGATTAAGTCATGCACTGAAAGAAAATACTTGACAAATGAAATCACCTACTCAGCACTCACCTCCCATGCAATCTTCTGATCGCCTTCGCTCTGCCTGATTTCCAGCTCAACATTCATCTTCAGGTCTTGTATCTTCCGCCATTCCTTGCAAGCTGTCAATTCCTCCATGGCACGTGGCCATTTCAACCCTTCCACCTCCCTCCTCCTCTCCTCCCTCCCCTTTGCCAACTCTGCTCTCATTGCATCCTCTCCCTTTCTTGTCTCCTCTCTCAGATCTCTTAGATCCGTATCTCTCCTTCGCTCAGCCATATCCCATTGCTGAGTCATTGCGCCCTTGTGTTCAGCCAGCTCCCCTTTCACTCCAGCCAGCTCTGCCTTCACTGCTGCCAACTCTGCTGCCAACCCCCTTTCCCTCTCTTCCGCCTGCCCTCCCATCTCCCTACTCTCCGACACTCGTCTCCTCTCAGCCTCTTCCACCTCCCTCATTCTCTCTTCCAGCTGCATCCCAAGCGCCTGCATTCTCATCTCCATCGCCTCTTTCAACTCGTGCGTTCCGGCCAAACTCACCATGACAGTCCGAACTGCCTCACTCGCTCTCTGCATTACCCAGCAAGCACACACCCTACACATGACATCACGTGGGTAGAAATGAAAGATGAGAGGTGGAGGATAGAGAGTGAAAACTAGAGAAGCAATTGGAGATACGATGGAGTCCACTGAAGAAGGTAAGGGTTGGAAAGCGAAGAGGGTTAAAATGACAAGCGAGAAGAGTGATGCAGGTTCAGTAACTGATTACGATGTCAAATGTTGGCGAATCAATGAGGAAACGGGACCTACATCAATGAGAAAGACATACAGCACGAGAGTAATGTGACACGAGAAGGGGGGGAGAGGGAGGTGGAGGGGAGAAAGGGGGTGTTTTGAGAGGGGGGAATGGGAAGACGAAGAAGAAAATAGGACAGCATGAGGGCAAAGAAGCTTTACACTGCAAGATCCACACCAGTGAAGCATTTTTTCCAAAATTGTGATCCAAGAACCTTTTTTAACATGAGTTAGAAAGGTGCTGGTACATCAACTGTGCTAGCTCTATAGCGAGGTGGGGCATGCTCACATGGGGCTATACAGCAGAGCAACGACTCCTCGTCTCTGCAACATGGTGATGGCAAGGCGAGGAAGGGAAGGCAGGATGGGTGATGAAAGGAGCATAGCAGGGAGAAGGATGAGCACGGGGAAAGGGTTGTGCAGCAGAATGGGGAACAACAGGAGTGAGGGGACAGCCAGGTACGAAGGTAGGCTACAAGAATCGGGAGAAAACAATGGCATGATACCAAATCTGCTGTGTTACGAGGCAGAGCACATGGCATACCACGAAGCACTTGCTTGCACTCTTCAGCTTCAACCACCTGTTCATCACAGCCAAGCCCTGCTGATGCATCCATGCTTTGACATGCGTGTGGGTCACGTCCATCCACCACAGCAGTGTTCCAAGAGTGGTGATGGCAGCATAGAGCATGAACGCCAATAGCTGCACATGTGGGAGGATGGAGGCATGGCAAGTGATGTGACACATTGCTGAGAAAACGACGCACATTGAGTTTCGAACCCTACAAAGCACCGAATCTGGACAGAAAAGTTGGTCGAACAAGGAGCCACTAGCTAAAGAGTCACGCACCAGGGTGTGGAGGCCGTGAGATGTCACGTTGAGAGCGGGGGATTCAGCATACGCATGAGTGAGGGGCCCATACGCGACAGCGGCAGTGGCATTGGCCTGATGTGCGAACGACACATGTATGCAAGCAAGGGGGCGCATGCACATGCACACGCACAAATGCATACGCATGCCGCATGAACACGCACAGGTGTGCGCGCGCACACACACATGCGACGTTTCTTGGGCGGCCGACAACCATTATGAGGCTTACAGAAACGCATCAAAGTCAAAGAACTTAGAGCAAAAAACTCATCTGCCAACTAACTGTAGCTATCAGAACAGAAAGTAGTAGCATTCGTTAGACACAATTATAAGGCAACACATCGGGGGAAGTTTTGTGGTTACAGGAGATTCGGAAGGAGATGGGAGCGGGAACTGTTGGCTGGCTTGCTGTTGATCGATGTCATGTGGCACCTGCAAGAGGCAACAAGGAGGCGAGGGGCAACAAGGAGGCGAGGCACCCTTAAAAGTTCAAGAAACACAAACGTGCACCTATGTTGGGGTGGCCATGGATTGTTTAGCATGCCGAGGAACAAACCCCATGCATCAGAAACCACTGCTGTAGCCATTCCAGTGATAACTCATGTCCTCTGCCATTGTGACAACACAAAAAGAACCCCTTGCCATTCCAGCCAACTCACGTCCTCTGTGGTGATCGCATGCGAGGCATCCCGGTGAAATGGCACAATCATGGTGACGAGTGCGATGGTAGCAGCGAGGAGGGCGACCAGCAGCACTAGCAGCAGCACGGCCACTGCACTCATTCGAGCCATGGCTGAAGGGGCGAGCCCAGTGCAAGGCGTGCAGGAGGGAGGGGGGCAGCAGGAGCAGTGGAAGGAGGGGACAAGCGGAAGCAGCAAGAGAACGAGGGGGCAAGCGGCGGCAGCGGCGGGGGGAGGAGAGGAGAAGCAACAGCAGCAGAGAGAGGGAAGAGGCGGCAGAAGCACAGGCAAGACGAATATCCCGAATAAAGATGAGTGCAGAACGAAGGAATTAACGGAGTAAGGGGCAGCTCAAGCGAGTGACGAGCAGTGACGCAATTTGGCAGCAGGAAGGAATTCAGCAGGTTGAGGCGACTGAAAAGATGCACGAGACACTCGGGGTGCAGAAAATCTAGTGGTTTGAATTCAAGAGTGGGTGGAAAGGCTGAAAACAAACGATTCTCTACTCTTATGACTCCTCAGAAGATAAACAAGCAAGACGAGCAAGATAATCAACCCTCTTTGTCAATCAATTTGGGTGCCACGCCAAGCAAGAGTGTAGAACAAAGTAACAAGAAGAAGGCGAGCGGACCTGAAACGGCACTTTTTGACACTTGAAGCGCTAGGTAACCTGCAAGGAGGTACTGTTGGTCTAAGGCAGGTCTAGAAGGGGATGAGCCAGCAGGGGGCATGAGCGAGCAGGACACGTGGGAAGAGTGGTGGCAGACGAGGGAAGAGTGAGAGAGGAAACGGATCCAGGGGAAGAGGTGAAGACGACATGGGGCAGGGCCAATCACAGCAATTGAGCGTATCTACCTGGTGTATGGCAGCAACGGACTGCCGGTTTGAACGAGGCGCCTACTAGCAGAAAGAGTGCCAGCGGCGCTCCAGAATAGGGGGCGAAAAAGGTGAGGGCGTTGAGGAGTAACACAAGTGGAGATAAAATCAGAAAGGGAGAATTCAGAATACTGGTGTGGGGAAACAGGTCAGAGATAATTCTGAAGTGGATAATATGGCCGAGAGCAGGCAGAGGAGGGAAGGGGAGACAAGAGAGGCCAGGAGGGAGGCATTACCTGCTACGCGCTGCGTTCGCCTCGCACCATTTACCTCTCACATCTCTCCTGCCCTTCGCCCATCACCTACACCATCACCTCGTGTGCGATGAGCCGCAGCACAGCGGCGCATGTCAGGCTGCACTTCGACCCAGTCGCCGCAGCCACGTGAGAAAACGCATGAATCAAGGCGTTGGGTCGATCGCGAACGCGGCATGGAGTTTTGATGCGGAGACACAATGGAGCCCGTCGACAGTCTCTTGCAACTCCAAGCCACCTTCAGCTCGTCTCATCCCGTCATTTCACAGTGCCTCCGCTTGCATGCCGAATCTCTCGCTGCATATTCAAATAAACATCGAATTCTTGGATCTTAATGTTGCGGCATCGCGCTAAATATCCGAGCCGCGTTTTCGCAAGAGTGGAAGGGCGAAATAATGTAATTCGGATCTTGTCGCTCTCGATGCATTGACACGTGGCGACACTGACGGTTATCGAATGTGGACGGTGCCACTTATGCTTGCTGGCGCGGATCTAGCTGTTGGCTTGGCTAACAGAACGTAACAACTATATTCAGCATTAGTTATGAGTGGGAGTGAAAAGCGGGGATGATATTGTGGAGGAAAGGGTGACAAGGTGTTGCGATGTTCAAGTTCAATATTTGCATAGGCACTTCCAGCAGTTACCATCCAGCTGTTCGCAAAACTCTGAACTCGCTCGCGAAACGAGTTTGGGCCCAGAACTTTGTGTTCGAGACCTAATTTGTGTGTCGTTCTCAGTTCACCCAAGCATGTGCTTTGAGCGAGGTACAACGCCAGTGCCAGTGTTTTCCTCTCACCCGTTACGGCACGTTCGCTCACGTGTCGGCATTCATTCCGTACACACATCGTTGCACGAGGTGAACTCTGCTTATCCAGCATGGCCATGAGGCAAGAGCAGAACCATTCAACATCACTGTTATTAGTACTCTTGGCCATGTTAGCTCGGCACTACTTATCGATGGCGACAATTCAGAGTACGAGCCCGCGTGGCACTTAGTACAATCATGCGGCTACTATTCCTCTGCTCCCTCCTCACGCTATCTTATCCGCCAGCCGTTTGAAAGCTATCACATTCTCGCGTGAGATGCGTGCGGCTTAGAGCGTTTGGCGTCCGAAGCCCGTTGCGTCTAGTAGGTGTCATTGCCTCTCCGAGCTTCACGACGTTTCAATCTGCGAAACCCTTAATACAGTTCTGCGGTAAGGCTGGTCCAGGTCATTCCATTCATTTCGGCTCGCACACTAGCTCAACCCTCACATTCATCTCCTTCCATTCGCCTATAGTCTCGAGTCCATCGTTCTCTCTGTTCCTCTCGTCCTTTGCCTCCAAACCGCCTCCATTCCACGTTCCCAGAGCTTAGCGGCGCGAAAAGAAACATGCAGTAGTCATATGAAGGCGCCATGCCGTCGTGCTCTTGTTCGAGCAATCTGACGCCAATCTGGGTATTCTCTAGTAATGCGCGACGAAGCCAGCGACTGCGTAGTCCAATGAGCTGAGCGACATTCCTTAGCAGCGGAAGCAGGAATGGCGGACAAAGTTACTACTAGGGTTGTGACCACTGTTTAGCGTTACCCGCCGGAGCATAGTAACCATGGATTTTGAGGTTCGATTCCGCATTCCCGGATGCTTAATCCAACGCAGATCCGACAACCATGATAGCAGCGATTCACGAACCAACGACAACCGTTCTGGCGATAATAAAGCATCGGCCTCGTCCCACGTGGACGTGCACGTCGCTGCCTCTCCCGAGGAGCTTCTCCGATCGGTTTTCAACCGCCTCTTCCACTCGCACCTGCCCCACTGCTGCCTGTCGTGCGATGAACGCCACGTGCAACAGGGAGCAGCTAGCGGCGTGGAAACCGCTGAGGCAACAGATTCGGTGCGTGGGATGCAGCCGGTCCGGTTCATGGTGCTAGGTCAGGTGGTGTACCTCTCACCTGACCGCACCGTGGAGCAAGCCAAGCTGAAACCCGGTTCCACCATTAAAGTGCTTCCCGTGAAAATTTCCGCCGTGCATGGGGGTGGAGAGGGAAAGAGCAAGGAGGGAGGTGAAAATGGTGTGAGTGCTCCTGCCGCTGCACTTGCTGCTCTGCCTCCTGTTGTTCCCGCTGCCCCGTCTCCCGCTGCCACGTTTGCTGCTGCAGTTCCTGCTGCAGCAGCTACCACCCTGCTTCCTCCTCCTACTGTTTTAACGCCTGCACCATCTGCTTCACCTGCTGCACCTGCTGTCGCACCTGCTGCTTCACCTGCTGTCGCACCTGCTGCCATATCTGCTGCCGCAACTGCTGCCGCAACTGCTGCCACACCTGCTGCTGCTGGAGTCACGAGGACTCGTGGGATTGACTACAGCAAGTGGGATCATATCGGCTCCAGCAGCGACGAGGAGGAGGGAGGGAAGATGGAGAACAAGCAGCATGCGCCACTGCCTAGAATTGACACATTAGGGCGCGGCGCAGGAAAATCAACTCCCCTGAATCTTGTCGGGACCTGTGGGGCGGGCCTTTCAGAACTCAAGGAGGCGATTTGGCATGGTCATGTGGAGATAAAGAGATGGCTTGGTTTCTCGGATCAGGGTGTTGGACCATTCCAAACGCCAGTGCAGGTGATTCGGCATGGTCATGCGACGCAGACACAGATGGCATCTGCGGCGCAAGCCAGGGCTTCGGGGAGAGTGGGAGGGCAGGAAGTACCCGGGAAATGTCAGCTGGTGACTCGAGAGGACATGGTTCACTACCTGGACGTGAGGGGCGGGTGGGACCTGAAGGAGTGCGAGTGCTGCTTTGTCCGCGCTCTGAGCCTGGGAGCAGAGCGCGCTCTCACCATGCACAGCCTCTCATACGCCCGATCCGTCCTGCACAAACAGCTGCCGGACTCCTTCCCCGTTGCGCCAAGCGGGGGTGGAGCCATGGGGGACGTTCTGGAGTATTCCTCAGGGGTGCAGGCGTTTGGGAAGCAAGGGGAATCGGCGTCGCCTCTTGAGCTGTATTCCTGCAAGTCTATTCTTGCGCCGTTCGTCTGTGTGGAGGGGATGCTCCTCGAGTGGATGGCGGAGCCTCGTGTGGGCGTGCTCATGGACCTGGGGGGACTCAGATCCCGCCTGCCTGCAGTTCTGGCTAATGAAGGCACCCCTGCTGGTCCTGCTCCCCCAGCTGCTGCAGCAGCTACTGCCCCTGCTGCAGTGTGGTCCTGCTGCTGTCGTTGCAGCAGCTGCTGGGCTGCCTACCGCCGTGCTGTGAGCTTCGCTGCCTTCCTCGTGCTCGTGGCGAGATGGCCTCGTGTTGACACCGTATGGAAGGCTCACTTGGATGCATATGATGCCCTCTACCCAGCTCTAGCAGGGCAGCTGGGGGCAGGCCGGCAGGCGGCAAATGACGCCTTTGCGTCCGTGCTGGTGCAGGTGCTGGGGGTGAAGAAGAGTGCTGATCTTCAGGAAGGGTTTGGGTTCTTTGTGCAGCACCTGCTGTCAGGCGGGCTGGAGAAGGTGCATGCAGAGGGGAGGGGAAAGGGGGGAGCCGGAGGGAAGGCTGGTGAGAAGGCGCAGGGGAGGGGGAAGGGGGAATCCGTGATGGAGGCTGCTGACAATGGAGCTGCTGGGGATGGCGGCAGAGAGGGGAAGAATGGGCAGTGGAGGGAGAATATGAATGGTCATGTATGGGAGGGGTATGTGGATGGCATTGCTTGGATTCTACAGCATGGAGGGGGGGACGGGAGGGAGTTCCGGTGCAGCCACTGCAGTGAGGGGGGCAGCAACAACAATGGTGGTAGCGTGCAGGTGAATGATATTCCCAAGGGCATGTATGTGAGTGGGGCAGGCGCTACAGAGTTCGCCCTTGCGTTTGCCACAGAGCTGTCTAAGCCAGAGAGTTGTACCAATGCCTGTATGTACATATTCGATGGCAACAATGCAAATAAGGTGAGGGTGGAAGAGGTGGCAATTGAGGAGGCTAGAAGCAGGCTGGGAAGAGGGGCAGGTGGCAATGGCAGAAAATGGGAATCAGGAGGAACAGGAGGAGAGGTGGCAGCAGCAGAAAACCCAAGTCGGGCAGCACAAATCCCGAGTGGGGCAGCAGAAAACACGAGTGGGGCAGCAAAAATCACGAGTGGGGCGGCAAAAATCACGAGTGGGGCGGCAAAAATCACGAGTGGGGCGGCAAAAATCACGAGTGGGCCAGCAGCAGACACGAGTGGGGCAGCAGAAGCTTTGGCAATGGGGGATGCATCTGCTTCCAGTGATGCTGCTTCTGCTGAAACCCGGCCTTGTGCACGAGCAGATGGCACGTCTGGTCTCGTGCCTGTCAACACAAGTCCTGTCCTTGCGGCCTTCACGTATCGAGTTGCCCGCATCTTACAGTGGGTTCGATTTTACGGCTCAGATCCTGTTTTCTTAAATAGATGCTCCAGGAGTGGGCCACAGAAAAGGATTTTGGAACTGGCCCATCCGTTTTGATGGTGCTGGTTTTCCTACAGAGTGGGAGGAATGGCCACAAGGTGATGAAGTTGCTGTGAATCTTCCTGATGATCCGGCTGCAAGATTCTTCCAGCTGGGCATCGTGGAGGAAAGTGGAATGGGGTTGGAGCATGGGCAGAGGGTAACAGAAGAAGCATTAAAGTGTGGGAGGAGGCACAAGAGGGGGAAGGGGCGAAGAGCCAGGGCATCCGGCCAAGGAAGTGACGGCAAAGGGGGTGATACGAATAGAGGGTTTGGCGAAGACCAAGGGGACAACCCACAAGCATCCGGCATGGCTGTTGCACAGTCGCCTCCGGGAAGAAAGCTTCCCATCGTCCGTTGCGTGGCGGATGCAGAATTCCTTGTGGAAGCAGTCAGCCTAGTTGTGAGTCCACCGGCATGTGCCCACTGCGTCCATTGCTTCCATGGCTACACCTACTTCATCCCATCCATCGCCCTCATCGCCAAGTTCGCCTACCGCCCTTTCGACGTCCTTTTCAACCGCTTTGTATCGGTCTAAACGCCACACTCGTCTGGGTTCAACACACTTGTGAAGATCATGCGGTTGCCACCGCTACCCCCACGCCCGTCTGCGCATATCAACCTCGCGAGGATGCGTGGTGACATAGAGAAGCTGCGAGTTCCCTTCCTGCTGCTCGTGGCCCTCATGTGGCCGGCTTCCATTCTGGATATGGATATGTACGAGGGTAAACGGGTGTCGGAGGGGGACGGGATTCGGGTGAGGAAGAAGGTTGCGACGGGGAGGAAGAAAGGGAAGGCTCGGAGAGGGATGGGAAAAGAGGGGGGGAAGGAGGAGGAGGAGGAAGCGGAGGATGATGGAGGGGTGTGGGAGGAGTTACAGTCGTGGTGATTCACAGCGACAGTTGCCTGGCCATCCAGCATGCGTGTCACGTTGAGTAATCCCGATGTTGAATCGGCGGGTTCAGGTCTGAGTGATGTGTGTACGGCCAGCGAGGGGCGGCAGAAGAAGACGGACATGAAGAAGAGGGTTGCTAAGATGTTCAAATCACTAGAGGGCAAGAGGCTCATGGAAAGGGTGCAAGGCCAGGGTGGTGCTGCAGAGAGCAGCAGAACTAGCAGCAGTGGCACTAATGTAGCACTGGGGAGCAGCACTGCTGGTGCTGGCTGCAGCAGCTGTGGTAGCCGTGGTCACGGAGGTCGTAATGGTGCTGCCACAAGAAGTGCTGGCGCTGGTGCTGGTGCTAGTGCTGGTGCTGGTGCTGGTGCTGGTGCTGGCGCTGGCACTGGTGCTGGTGCTGGTGCTGGTGCTGGTGCTAGTGCTGGTGCTAGTGCTGGTGCTGCTGGTGCCAGTGCTGGTGCTGGTGCTGGTGCTGCTGGTGCTAGTGCTGGTGCTGGTGCTGGTGCTGCTGGTGCCAGTGCTGGTGGTGCTGGCGTTGGCGATGGTGATAGTGATGGTGTTGTTGTTGGTACTGGTGGTGATGGTGGTGGTGATGGTGACAGTGATGGTGCTGGTGCTGGTGTTGGTGGTGCTGGTGATGGTGCTGGTGGTGCTGGTGGCGATGGTGCTGGTTCCATTGCTGGTGCCAGTGGTGGTGGTGCTGGCGTTGGTGATGGTAATAGTGATGGTGTTGTTGTTGGTACTAGTGGTGGTGATGATGGTGCTCGTGGTGTTGGTGCTGGTGCTGGTGGTACTGCTGCTGGTGCTGCTGGTGCTGCTGATAATGGTGGCAAGTGCATTGGAACAAAACGCAAGAAGGGGGAGCTGCCGGCTTATCTGAAGCCATGGCCCGGGGGAGTCAATCTGGTGGCATGTCTGCGAGAGATGTTGCTGGGGGAGCCGTGCTACCGCCCTGCCTCCCCTGCTGCCCCTTCCGCCGCTCCTGCTGTTGCGACTAATGCTGCTTCAGCTCCAAGCACAGCTGCTTCTGCGTCTTCCACCCCTGCTGCAGCAACTAATGCTGTTGCTCCAAACACTTCTGCAGCGACAGGCAATGCAGCTGCAGCTGCACCCGTTGAGGATGCAGAGGCCTGTGGTCCCACTGCTTGTGGGGGAAGTAGGTGCGGTGCTGCGGGGTGTGGGAAGGTGGAGGGTAGTGGTGTGAGGCTGAGGAGCTGCGGTGGGTGTGGCAAGGTGGCGTATTGCAGCAGAGAGTGTCAAAAGGCGCACTGGCCCTCCCACAAGCTCACATGCCCCGGCAGGACCAGCGGGAATAAGAGTGGCAACAGCAGTGGTAAGGTGGGTGGAACAATGAATGGGACAAGCACTAGTAGAGACAGCAGCTGAGGTGAAAGAGAAGTCCGCAGTATGCTGAGTGGATGTGTGGTTAAGTCGATGCTACAAACTCCCTTACCTTTCCCATGCTTTGAATCGAAAGTCTTTTCGTCCCTTTTGTATCATGTGCTTGCTGGCATTGTCAATCACCTGCCTCGCACATTGACCAATTGCTGTGTATGTGTTCTGGCTTCCACCGTTTGACGCATGTCGCTGAATGTATTTTCTTCCTCTGCTCCATATCTCCCCCGTTGTTCACCTCTCTTCTCGAAATGCGCAGGTTCAATGAGGATGACCAACCGAGTACCCAGAGATTCCTCCCCACACGTCTTCATGCCTGGGAGGATCTGATCAGAGTACCAACATACCGGTACTCTGTTCCTCTGAAATCAGTATAGTTGTAGGAAAATCAGATTAGGTCTTCTTTTTATACCTGTAGGTTTCCTCTGAATAAGCACTCGATTGGCTCGGCTCGGGGTATTTTTTTTTGGGGATCCATTCTATGGTACTGTGTACAGAGGAGGATACATGTCTCAGCGCTCCGGCAGCTCACATGCTTGGGAATAAACGCTCACAAGCTGCTTTCAATCGGAGCTCTATCCAGACTATGGAAGTTGAATTTGCCCAACTGCCCAGCTCTTACTGATCTCTCTGCTTGCTTCCCTCACTCAGTTCTGCTTCCTCCACAAGGTACGGGTCTGCAAGGACTCCTTCGGGTTCCTTTCTCCTTATTAGGCGGGTGCTTGTTGTTTGGGTGGTGTAACGTGTTGTCTGCTCATGCATGCAGCTGCTTGCCTTCTCATGATTCATAGAAAACCACAGGTTCCTTACCAACAGCACAGAACGGCACATGCAAGAGATGCATGTGGAAGTAATGTGATTTTGAACAGCTTTCTTTCAAACAGAAGGGCTTAAATCAGTGTGTCCCCTAAAAAGTATGTGTCGCTCAGAGTTGTCACTCAAGAGCGATGTTACACTGATATCAGGGTTACTTTCGTGAGTTCATTCTGAGGCTTCGGAATGTGTGCAGATGGTAAAGATGGGCGTCACTGCTGGCTGCACTATGCCAGCCTGGGGAGGTGGGGAAGGGGAGGGTGGGAGAGCAGGGGGAAGGAATGAGAAGGAATTCAGTGGAGAATAGTGGTGAATGGTGGGCACCACTGGTTCGACCATTCAGAATTCTCGAAGGTGACACCAGATGGGTGACAGAGGAAGAGCGGAAACAGGGATTGCAATGAATGACTGGCGATTGGTGTGTGCGCATAGAGGTGGTAGCGGATGGATGGTACGGCTGGACTACGCACGTCTGGTGGGTGGTTGAGGGGAGGGGGGAATACAACACAGGGATGGTGGTGAGTGATCGGTGTGTGAGTGTCGAGGAGGCAGGGATGGGTGCTAACTTTCGACTAGACTACGAACAGCTGGGAGGGGAAAAAAGGGCATGAGGACTTTAGAGGGAAGGGAATAGGGATGAGAAGGAGGAAAATGTCTAAGGGGATGGGGAAGGGGATGGGGAAGCGGATGGCAAAGCGGATGGGGAAGCAGATGGGGAAGCGGATGGGGAAGGGGATGATAACGAGGATGGGTAAGGGGATAGGTAAGGGAATGTGTAAGGATACGGATAAGGGGGGAATGTGTAAGGGGCGGTATGGGCATGGGGGAAAGCGAGCCTCCGATAGGATGGCTCTGTATGGACAAGCATGGGGGTCAGGTGATTGGATGGATGTGAGGTTAGTGTTAAGAATAAATAGTGATACGGAGTGAAATTTACAAGATATTAACACACTAGCACAGCAATGACATCCAAAGCAAGACCAGAGGGAAGTGATGGAATGAGAATGGAGGTAGAAGCAGCAAGGGAGGGGAGGGGTATGCGCATTAGCAGGAGGGCTAGGTAAAGAGGGGCAGTAGCAGAGGGGGAGGGTAGGGAAATAGCAGCAGTAGAAGACAAGGGAGTGGAATAGTGGCAGTAGAAAGAGGGGGAAAGAAGAAAAGAGGGGGGGGAGGGGGGGGGAGAAAACTACCGAATGGCTTTCAGCCCCACAGATCCTCGTCACGTGGGCAATGAATCGATGGAGGGAGACGAAGGACGTGAATGAAGGTATTGTGGGCACAAGGAGGGCAATAGCAAAGGGGCGAAAACGGACGTGGGAGAGTATTGTGTGCGAAATCACCATGTGTGATGGTAAGGACGACACCCGTACCCGAAGCACAAGATTTGATTAGTTGTGTTATACAGAGAGGCACTCTAATGGACCATGTGACGGGCGTGGTGTGGTGATTGGGTTTGGGGAGGCTACAATTGTGGGGACCGGGTGTCGCTGCTGCTGATTCTGCTCGCTTGAGGTGCCCTTGCGACACTTCCAAGCTCTCCCATCCCATCCCTCGTTCATTCATCCCTTGTGGCTACTCACCGCCACACACCTGCCACGTTGCAGCAGAAAGGGGCACCATGACGAGCACCGGCATGGAAAGGGGCGAGTGTAGCAGGGGAAAGGGTGGAGGGGCATTTGCACAAGCCGCCACATACTCAATTGCACACACACAAGGTGCACCATACATATAAGCTGTTTAAGTGTAGGGGCGATGTTGGGTGGGGAAGGAGAAGGGAAACCACATGAGTAAGGTTGCAGCTACTCTTCCTGCCTCAATGCCGCTGACAGGTAACCACCAACACACGTTATGCTGGTAGAAGGATATGGTACATACATACAAAGAAATCAGTGAAGTGAACGTGACCAGCTGTAAGTGTTCCAGGCAGTAGCTGAACCAGGCAAAGCACTGCGGCATGGGTACTGGCATCAGCAGCAAGAGCATAGATGTAGGAGCTGCATTAATAGCAGAGGTAGTGAGAGGTGTATGGCCCTTGGGTGGGGTAGGAGGAGAGACAAAGGAACTCCTCCTCGCACTTCTCTCTTACTCCTCCCCTTACACACTGCCTCACCACCCCCAAAGTTGACAGCAAAATGGTACCCACGTCCTTAGTACACGCCTTCTCTACCCGCTCCTTTCCCTCTCATCAACCCTTTCTCTCTCTTCCCTCCCCTTATCACACCCCAGCCCTCCTTTCCCACCCCCTCCTGTCCTACCCATTGCCGGCGATGTCACTGCCGTAGCCACGTGACAGGCCCAGGAGCTGCCTTGTCAGGCGCTGAAGCAGCCCCTTTCCAACCTTGTCTCGTTGTTGCAGACGAAGAGCCAACACCAGAAGCAGCAGCGCCGCCTGTTTCCTTCTGCCATGCAGCCCCCCTGAACAAGGCATGCATTCCCCCGTGCACCATGACCTCCGTGCATTGTCATGCTGAGATGCTGCCGCATCGCAATGCCCCACCTCCGCCTGCTTGTGTCCTTGGCCCCACTCTCATCTCGCTCCTGTTTGCTCCTTTGTTCCTGTATGTCCACCCGCCTCCTTGCTTCGTATCTTCCCTGCCTGTCCCCGTTGCTGCAGGACCTGCTGCAGCATGCAGCTTTGATGGGCTCTCGTCAGCTCTAGTCGCCCCGCTCCTCTCCCTGCTGCACTCCAGCCCTGCAACCAGCTGAAGCCGCTGCTTCAAGGCGCTGCAGAGAGGCGTTCTCATGGACCATGGGACGGGCGGGGTGATTGGCGACTGGGTGTCGCTGCTGCTGATGCTGCTGCCTTGAGGCGCCCTTACAGCCCTTCCAAGCCCTTCCATCCCTTGTGGCTCCTCCCCGCCACACACCTGCCACGGTGCAGCAGAAAGGGGCACCGTGACAAGCACCGGCACGAAAAGGGGCGAGTGTAAGAGGGGAAAGGGTGGAAGGCATTTGCACAAGCCGCCACATATTCTATTGCACACAATTTTGGTGTATGGTCGCATGGTCAATCAGCGCAAAACACCTGAAAATCAGCGCAAAACACCTGAAAATCAGCGCAAAACACCTGAAAATCAGCGCAAAACACCTGAAAATGATCGCATCAGCATCGGCCGACGAGGAGACTCGTTCTGATGCGATTACACTTGCTCAACTCGACTCACCCTCGTCGTCGCGGAACAACTAAAGGGTGATACGTCTTCCTTCATCTACCTATTTAGAAAGTTACTGGGAAGCTCTGACTTCCCTCTTTCTCTCCGATCGCCTCTCTCGCACCCCCTCCCAAATCCCCCCACTTCCCCCCACTCACCCCATGCAGGCCAAGCTGCACGTCCTCCTGGGTGCAGCATCACCGGTCTCTCCCTGGTCGCCCTGCTCTCATCTGCATTCACCGTCCACCAGCACGGGCTCGCTCACCTGCACCGCTCCCCCATGCACCCTCATGAACGGCCAGATCCGCCAGCCAGCAGCAGCAGCGCATCTGCCTCTGCCCGCTAACTCCCCACACCCTCCTACTTCTCAATCAACCCCTCCCCTCCTCCTTCTCCAGCTCCCGCCTCTCCTCTACACTCCCCCCCTCCTCGTCCCCCTCCGTTCCTATCTGTCTCGACCTACCTAATCCCTCTCGTTCCTCTCCTCTCGTCCTCTCCCCCATCCCTCCCCTCTCCCCCCCTCCCTCTCACCCCCACCTCTCCCCCTCTCCTTTCGTCACCTCCTCCTCTCCCCCCTCCTTTCCCCCTCACCTCCCCCTCCCCCGTCCCTCTACCACGCCCCTCTCCCACATCCTCCCCATGCTCACCAATCCCCCTTCTCACGGAAACAACACATGAACTCCACAGCACTCCACATGTAGGCCAGTTGGGTCGTTGGTCGTGCGCAGATAACTACTACAACGAGAGATAGACTACGGGCTAGGCACGGGTGCTCGTGTGATCTCTGCGTTCGTTAGTCCTTAGTCGTTTTCCTAGTGCACACACTGCTTGCTAGTTCACGGGGCAAATTGGCAAGAGTTTCACTAAGAAAGGTTGACAACAATGGTACAAAGAAGTTGGCATGGCAAGACTACATCAGAGCTAGCATTCAGGTCGGTCGACTGCCAGCGCAGCATGGTCGACCGCGTTCCAGCACGACTTGGTCGACCGCGCTCCAGCAGTGCAAAGTCGACGGCGTGCCAACACTGCAGGTTGACGGCGTGCCAGCGTTGCTCCCGCAGAACAGCAGCGCACCTACTTCGCAGGTGCTCGCAGATGATTGGCGTGCTATGCCTCGTCACCTGCACAGCACACACACCAAGTCAACCTGGCGCTGACGACTGCATCTGATCAGCCACGTCGACCTCGGGATACCACCACCGAGGTCGGACTCGCCAACTTCGCTTGGGCGACCGTCGCACTCCTCCGCAGAACCTCGTCACCCAGGTAACCTGGTCGACCAGGCAACCACGTCGACCAGCTGCTCCTGTAAGTGCCCGTCGACCTCCCAAGTCGACGACCACCCCAAGTCGACCTCACCAGGTCGACCACACCCCTGGTCGACCAGCTCCAGGTCGACGTCACTCCTGGTCGACCAGCTCCATGTCGACCAGCACAGCTGTCAGCCGACCACCCAGGTCGGCTACCCGAAGTCGGCGTCACCAAGTTGACGCCTTGCTACTCGACGACCAGCTGCTCGGCGTCCTGAGTCGAGGTCGACGTCGGCCCCTCCTCCGTCGACCACGAGGTCTGGTCGACCACCAGGTCGACATCACGCCTGGTCGACCACCACCAAGTCGACCAGCAGGCCTGGTCGACCAACCACCAGGTCGACCAGCAGTCGTGTCAGCCGACCACCCAAGTCGGCTGCCCCAAGTTGGCGTCACCAAGTCGACGCCCTCCGCAGGTCGACTACCCAGGTCGACCTCCCTAAAGTCGGCGCCACCCTGAAGTCGGCGCCCGTGCAGTGGCCCCCGTGCAGGTCGACCTCCTCGTGAGCCAGCTCGCCCACTGCTGCAGGTCGGCTGCTCCCCTCACACCCGACCACGAAGTCGGCTCCGCCCAAGCGAGGACGGGGCCAACACACAACTCCCGTTGACAGGTCCAACTCACCCCACTAGGCCAGTTGGGTCCTTGGTCCAACTCACCCCACTAGGCCAGTTGGGTCCTAGGTCCAACTCACCCCACTAGGCCAGTTGGGTCCTTGGTCCAACTCACCCCACTAGGCCAGTTGGGTTCTTGGTCCAACTCACCCCACTAGGCCAGTTGGGTCCTTGGTCCAACTCACCCCACTAGGCCTGTTGGGTCCTTGGTCCAACTCACCCCACTAGGCCAGTTGGGTCCTTGGTCCAACTCACCCCACCAGGCCTGTTGGGTCCTTGGTCCAACTCACCCCACTAGGCCAGTTGGGTCCTTGGTCCAACTCACCCCACTAGGCCAGTTGGGTCCTTGGTCCAACTCACCCCACTAGGCCAGTTGGGTTCTTGGTCCAACTCACCCCACTAGGCCAGTTGGGTCCTTGGTCCAACTCACCCCACTAGGCCAGTTGGGTCCTTGGTCCAACTCACCCCACTAGGCCAGTTGGGTTCTTGGTCCAACTCACCCCACTAGGCCAGTTGGGTCCTTGGTCCAACTCACCCCACTAGGCCAGTTGGGTCCTTGGTCCAACTCACCCCACTAGGCCAGTTGGGTCCTTGGTCCAACTCACCCCACTAGGCCAGTTGGGTCCTTGGTCCAACTCACCCCACTAGGCCAGTTGGGTCCTTGGTCCAACTCACCCCACTAGGCCAGTTGGGTCCTTGGTCCAACTCACCCCACTTGGCCAGTTGGGTCCTTGGTCCAACTCACCCCACTAGGCCAGTTGGGTCCTTGGTCCAACTCACCCCACTAGGCCAGTTGGGTCCTTGGTCCAACTCACCCCACTAGGCCAGTTGGGTTCTTGTTCCAACAAACCCCACTAGGCCAGTTGGGTCCTTGGTCCAACTCACCCCACTAGGCCAGTTGGGTCCTTGGTCCAACTCACCCCACTAGGCCAGTTGGGTCCTTGGTCCCACTCACCCCACTAGGCCAGTTGGGCCCTTGGTCCAACTCACCCCACTAGGCCAGTTGGGCCCTTGGTCCCACTCACCCCACTAGGCCAGTTGGGTCCTTGGTCCAACTCACCCCACTTGGCCAGTTGGGTCCTTGGTCCAACTCACCCCACTTGGCCAGTTGGGTCCTTGGTCCAACTCACCCCACTAGGCCAGTTGGGTCCTTGGTCCAACTCACCCCACTAGGCCAGTTGGGTCCTTGGTCCAACTCACCCCACTAGGCCAGTTGGGTCCTTGGTCCAACTCACCCCACCAGGCCTGTTGGGTCCTTGGTCCAACTCACCCCACTAGGCCAGTTGGGTCCTTGGTCCAACTCACCCCACCAGGCCAGTTGGGTCCTTGGTCCAACTCACCCCACTAGGCCAGTTGGGTCCTTGGTCCAACTCACCCCACGAGGCCAGTTGGGTCCTTGGTCCAACTCACCCCACCAGGCCAGTTGGGTCCTTGGTCCAACTCACCCCACCAGGCCAGTTGGGTCCTTGGTCCAACTCACCCCACCAGGCCAGTTGGGTCCTTGGTCCAACTCACCCCACCAGGCCTGTTGGGTCCTTGGTCCAACTCACCCCACTAGGCCAGTTGGGTCCTTGGTCCAACTCACCCCACTAGGCCAGTTGGGTCCTTGGTCCAACTCACCCCACTAGGCCAGTTGGGTCCTTGGTCCAACTCACCCCACTAGGCCAGTTGGGTCCTTGGTCCAACTCACCCCACTAGGCCAGTTGGGTCCTTGGTCCAACTCACCCCACTAGGCCAGTTGGGTCCTTGGTCCAACTCACCCCACTAGGCCAGTTGGGTCCTTGGTCCAACTCACCCCACTAGGCCAGTTGGGCCCTTGGTCCAACTCACCCCACTAGGCCAGTTGGGTCCTTGGTCCAACTCACCCCACTAGGCCAGTTGGGCCCTTGGTCCAAATCGTCGCATCACACTCCCACCATGCCGTTTATTTGGATGTGCCCCGCACCACAATTTTTGCTGTTTAACAGCTCCGGAAATTACATCGCCTGCCCTCCCGCCCATGGCCCCAATTCTCTTAGCTGCATGAGGCACGAGCTACGAATCAGGAACAATGAAATCCATACACTTGCATCTTTACGTTCCGCCCTTTTTCTCCCTACTCTCAAATCCACTCCCCACCCTCCCCTCCTTTTCCAGCATCGTGCAGAGCCACCATGTGTGCTGAGTACAGCCGTCACTCTCTGTTGTCCCCCCTTCCCCTTCCTCTTAGACTTTCCCATCCCCACCTCTTTCTCCCGTTCCATCCCCATCCCCAATGCCATCCGCCCCTCCCTGGTGTGCATAGTCCGGCCAGCATTGTCCATCACACTGTTCCAATCCGCCTTTCCTGCACCCACATCCCTGCTCTCTCCCTCCCTCTTCCCCTGGCCACCCTTCCTGCAATCACCCACCAGGTGCGCGTAGTCCAGCCAGTAGCATCTTTTCCCTGCTGCCTATGCTCCCACACTTCAATTAATGATCACTCACCTCTGCACTGAGTTCAGTAGTGCCTTGACTCGAACCTACCTATCAGGTGTCTGCTCTCATTTATCACCTTGCTAGCCTGCCATTGCCACCCCATCGTCTCTTGGAGCAACCCTTTCCATATGAAGGACTCAACTCAAGTCCCTTGATCTCACCATCACATCACACCATCACACGATCGTCCCATCACATCATCACACGATCTTCCCGACAACCCATTAACCCATTACACATCTTCCCATCAGACCATTACCCCTTCGGCCATCGTCTCGTAATCCCCGCACCATGCGCTTGCTTTGCCGTTGGCCCTCACTGCAACTGTTTGTGCCAAACAGCCCTGGGGTCACTGCCTGGTCTGCCCCTGCATGTGCCCAACTCTCGTAGTTGCATATTAGCATATAAGCATGGTAGGGATGGGGCAGCGGTAGAAAAAGCAAGACAGAATCTGTCACAGGAGGCATAGGCATGACGGGCTGGTGTATAGAGATGAGACTAGCAAAAGCGTAGGATCAAAGGAAAACGAGATGATAGTGGGGCTGCAAGGCTAAGTTGAGATGCGAGGCCTGGGAGAGGAAACACAGCGGCAGATTTCCAAAGCGATACTGAGATAGAGCATGGTGGAGCTGTGAAAAATGTACAGAAAAAGAAAAGGTACGAGGATGAATAGGACATGGAGTTGAAACCAAAATGGGAGGGGTGGGGGGGGGGGAGGGAGTCAGAGGAAGGGGCGTGGAGTGGGTGGGGTGAAAAGGAGGCGCTGAGGAATGGGAGGGAGGAAGGAGATGGAACGGGAAGGAGGAGAGAGGGTGGAGAGGGAGGGAGGAGAGGAGGCAGAGCGAGAGGGAGGAGAGGGGAGGAGCGGGAGCGACGAATGGGTGGGAATGAGGGAGGAGTGGGAGGGAGAAGCGGAGGGAGAAGTGGAGGGAGGAAAGGAGGTAGGGGGGTAGGAGTGTGAGGGGTAGAGGAAGAGGCGTGGTGGGGGAGTAGGCGGCAGTGGTGACAGGCCTTTTAAATAGTGGTAATGCCTGTTTCCGAAGTACTCGCCTGTATGTAAACTACTTCTTGTTAACACAACGGACCGTCGCTTGGCCAATTGCTCCCGTGTACCTATTAACGTAATAACTGAGCCAGGTTCACGTTCACACCTCCTCAACATCGGCCCTCGTGCTGCTTCTTTGGCACCTGTGGCCCTCCGTGGTCCTGCAGCAGCAGACGCAGCCCTCCCTCCCTTCTGGCAGGCACGCAACCCGTTATTCTAAAGGAAAGACACAACCTAGACAAACCGAACCTGCACCGAGCGAGCGCTGGTTGAGGCTGAACCAGATTGGCGGACCTGTGGGTCGAAGCAGGTGGCCCAGAGTAACAGAGCCATGACCCCGTCGCCCCGAATCCTCTCTCTGCCCTTCCGAATATCCTCGCCACCACTCCTTCTCCCTCATTGGCCCTAGTGGTGAGAACTGTCCATTAGTGTTGTCCGACTGGCTCCTCACAGTCCCCGAGCCCCCAGCCCCCAGCCCCCAGCCCGCCTAGTCTTCTGTATCCTTTCACGAGCCTTTCCTCCGATGTGTCCTTTCACGAGCCTTTCCTCCGCTGTGTCCTTTCACGAGCCTTTCCTCCGCTGTGTCCTTTCACGAGCCTTTCCTCCGCTGTATCCTTTCACGAGCCTTTCCTCCGCTGTATCCATTCACGAGCCTTTCCTCCGCTGTATCCTTTCACGGGCCTTTCCTCTGCTGTGTCCTTTCACCCGCTCCTCCTCTGCTTTTTCCTTCCTCTGTGCCTCCCCTTCCTGGTACCCTTGCACCATGACCATGGGAGGGAACTCAAATTCCAGATTTACACATCCCAGATCACCCCATGCTCTTGATTACCTCTTCTGTTTCCCTTAGTTTTGCTTAAATTGTGTCTGCGTGTTGGTGTGTTGTAGTAGTATGTATTTGTGTTGTAAATCATTTATTAAAGGTGTAGGGTGTGCTCAATTAAAGGTGAAACCTAGGAATTGAACCTAACCTGAACCGTAAAGTGTAACTTGCACCAAGGCGAAGTAATAAGATAACACCATGACAAGTATTAGAGTGAACTCTAGGTTACTCCAACATTTCCATCGCCATCCCCTCCTCCTGCTACCTCTTTGATGCGGCATCGCTGGCACAGCACCCAGCTCAGCAACAGCAGCAACACAATGACAGCCACAGCGCCAGCAGCAGCAATGCCAGCCATGGCTTCGCTGGATAAACCGCCCCTCTGATGGAGGGAGAGGCGGAGGTTGCATTCGGATTTGAAGTGGGACGAGGTGGAGGTGCTGGCGATGGTGATAGAGACGGTTTTGGCACTGTCAATGGGGAGGGTACAAAAATGGGATAGGAAGATGGAGATAGGGAAGGGAAAAGGCAATCAGACATTGGGAAGAGGGTGGGCGTGGTGAAAATGGATTTGGCATCGGGCACATTTTGCACAGTGAGAAGTAGCAAAGGAAGGGATTGAAGGGTTGAAACGGGTAAATACCAAGAGGAGTCATGCAACAGAAGTGAATAAAATCGTCTTATGAGGATGCCTGATGCCTGAAACTGGAAGCGCTTGTTCTATAGGTGCAATGTAGTGTTCATGCATTCAGCACGAGAGCAATTCAAGAATAGGCAATAGAAATTGCAGCTACCTGTGTAAGGAGCGTCTCACCTGGTGGTGGCATGACACATGTGGTGCAGAAGGAGCCACACTGCCTGCAGAGAGCACTTGAAGTGGTCTGTGGAACCACGCAGCTGCTGTAGTCAGGAGGGCATTTGATTGCAGTATAAGATATGAAACTGCATGTACACACGGAGCATTGTTATATTATGAATCAGAAACGGGTTTCAGCTTTATGTGAAACGTTCTGAGGTTGCTATTGGAGATGTATGGAACACATTGCAATAATCTACTATGCCAAGTTTATTTTTAGGCTGAAATCACTGATGAACCATACATTGGTATTTTGCTGCCTTTTGCGTGGAGGTTTGGGCTGGGCCGGTGTAATTTCGGCCCTTGAGTACCTTCTACCAGCGGTTACAAACAAACTTGGGCTAGAGTACGCCATTAAAACACCTTGGCTCAGTTAGGCAGCCACGGAAGAAGGACGGAAGAAAAAAAATGAGGCTTCTACTATGAAGCTTCCAATCGCATTATCGAGGGCTGTACAGTGCGGGTTGTAGGGTAAATTTTCGGAAACCGAGGCGCAGGTTTTTTACAGCAGCGACGCGAACACCACATAAAATTGATTCCGCGCCGTCTTCTGTCCTTATTCCCCCCACCCTGGCGGAATGCTTCCGCCCTAGTGGGACGGAAGAAGAAAGTGATTCTATCACAACAGAAGAGTCAACTTTTTGATTCCAGAAGAAGCACTGTTCACGGGACAACATTGCACCCTACGAATAAAAGGGTTAATGCACAAAAAAACCCTACTCCAATATATTACGGGCCCAACAGCGTGGGGCGCCAACCCCCTTATTTTTTTTGGGCAAGACTTTTTCGCTTTGCTACAGTGCTCTGGGACATTCGAATGTGAGGGCAAATGTGCCTTGACCTGTGGCGTTTTTTCCTATCTTCCCCCTCCAACCTGCGCCAGCTCCCCCATGGCGCAGGTTGTCCGCGAAGCGGTCAAACCAGGGTCAAAATTCGTTGACCCTGGGTTGACACGCGCCTCACCTTCCCCCTGGCTGCCGAACTGAGCCCTTGTACTACTCTTCAATATACGATTTCAGGTTGCTATGACAGACATTGCAACACTAGAACACGCTAAATTGCTTTACAGGTATGAAAGACGAGTGAGATTGCCTATTGTTGGAGGGAGTTGGCCAGTGAGGTTGTTCTGGCTGACATCACTGCAATGGATGGAATTACAGTTAACAAACGGAATAGACAGACTCAAGGCATTGTAAATAATATTTTCTGATGGTGCATACATGCAAGAGGTTTCACGTGAACAGAGATGAAAACACAAGACAATTGGACGATGTAGATAAAGAAAGTATGATATGTTGACTTATTGCGGCAGGAACCGCACATCCGATGAGGAAGCATAAAAAACTCAACGTGGAGCATTCTCAAACCATGAATCAGTAACGTATTGTATCTCTAAGTGAAACGCTATGAGGTTGTTTTTGTTGATGTATGGTAACACATTGCAATACTCTACTATGCCAAGATGTTTTACGGGCTGAAAATACTGATAACCCATAGATTGGTATTTTTCCCGCTTTAAAAAACGGCCTGACGCGGAGGTTGGGCTTGGCCAGTCCAAGTTCGGTCCTTGTGTACCTCCTACATGTGGCTGCAAACAAGCTTGGACTACGGTACACCACTGGAACACCTTGAGAAGAAACGAGGAATGGAATGACTAAGTGAAAGTTGGGTACAAAAAGCAAACCCTAGGAAACTGTACCCCATATGTGCTACCCCACTATAGCCTACAGTAGCTATGTCATATAAATCTGACACACCCCCATAGGCAGAGTGGGGGAGAACAAGGGGTCACAAGACCAGTCAAGCACAGCAAAGCAAGCTCAGGGTGGATCACAAAGTCACCACACATTCCGAGCACAAGTTCAAGGCCACAAGGCCAGTTCACATGCAGGATTACATATATATATAAGGCTAGACAAGCAAGAGCAGGTGTATATATATATGCAACAGTACAAACAAGGTCAAGGGGTGAGCAAGTGAGTCAAGGTAGGCACAAGACCCAGCTGAGTACAGAAGCGCTGATGATCACAAGGCGCAAGTGCCTTGGTGAAGATATCAGCAGTGTTGGCCTGAGAGGCCACGTACGCAAGCCGCAGCTGACCACGCTGCTGTAGCTCACGAGCAAGGAAGTAGCGGAGAGCAATGTGCTTCGTTCTGTGCTCCAGTCTCTGCTCTCGACACAAGGCCAGCATGGCCTTGTTGTCTACGTACAGCACTGGAGGAGAACGAGGCGGCTCTCCGAGGTCAGTCAGCAGGTAGGTGAGCCAGCGAAGCTCCTGTGCAGCCATGGCCCCGGCGTAAATCTCAGCCTCACAACTGGAGCCGAGAACAGAAGACGAGCGGGTAGCCCGCCACGAAACAGAGCCGGAACCAAGGCTGAAGGTGTAACCCTGTGACGACCGCTGCGTAGCCTGGTCGTCAGCCCAAGAAGCGTCTGCGTGCCCAGTGAGGACCACTGGACTCTGCCCTCCAAGCACAAGCCCCATGCCCGACGTACTGCACAATTAACGCAACACCCTCTTCGCTGCAGCCATGTGCTCCGGTCTGTGTCTCCCAGGAGCAACATAGCGTGCGAGAATGCTAAGAGGGTATGCGAGGTCAGGTCGTGTGCAGGTCATCAGGTACATGAGGCAGCCAACAAGCTCTGGGTACGGGCCACTCGACTCTACGGACTCATCCGAAGGCAGAGCTGAGAGCGAGTGGCGAGTAGGCAGAGGAGTGGCCTGAGGCGAGGAGTACGTGAAGCCGAAGCGCTGAAGGACCTGCTGCACCATGTGTGACTGAGTCAGGGTAATGGTGCGGCGTGCTCTGTCCCGGGTGATCTGCAAGCCAAGGTAGCTGCGCAGTTCACCCAGGTCTGTGCACGTGTGTCTCTTCTGCAGCTCGGACTTCACGTGGGCGAGTCCAGCAGTGTCAGCTGTGGCAAAGACCAAGTCGTCGACGTACACGAGGATGTAGAACGGCGGCAAAGAAGTGTCGGTGCGCAGAAACAGCGACGGGTCGGCAGTAGAGGGAGCAAACCCAAGAGCCGCAAGTGTAGTCCTCAGTGTGTCGTGCCACTCACGCGGTGCCTGGCGGAGACCGTAGACTGGCCGCCGGAGGCTCCACTGGGTGCCAGGAGGAAAAGACCCAGTGAAGCCAGGTGGGCGACGCAGCCAGATCTCCTCGTGCAGGCTGCCCTGCAAGAAAGCAGTGCTGAAGTCAAGAGAGTGCAGCTCGTAGTTGCGGTGAGAAGCTATGTGCAGCAGTACCCGAAGAGTGGTCATCTTCGGGGTGGGAGAGAAGGTCTGAAAGTAGTCAACTCCCTGCCGCTGACTGAAGCCACGAGCTACGTAACGCGCCTTGAAGACAGGCGGAGAACCCGGCGGTCGCTTCACCCTGAAAATCCACATGCCACTGACGATGTTCGCCCCAGGCGGGGGAACCTCGTCAACGTAGGTGCCTGTGGACTTCCAGGAAGCCATCTCTGTGTCCATAGCTGCCTGCCACTGAGAGGAGTAGGGACCCTCTATCGCCTCCGCGTAAGAGCGCGGAGTCGGGATGTCAAGTGCATCCGGGTCTCCCTCAGGGGAAAGCAGTACGGACACGAGATGAGGTGAAGCAGCAGCCAAGCACTGGAACTCCTCCTGCCTGTCCTCAAGGACGTCCGTGCCAAGGGCACACTCACCCCCGACGGACGGAGGACAGACAGACTCAGACTCAACGACAAGACTAGCAGCGTAGTCTAGACGACAGCGAGCAGCAAAGTCGACGAGCTCAGCAACTAGGGCAGACGCAGCAGTGGACTCAAAGGAAGGGTCAGTGACGACAGTAGCAAGGAGACGCGTGACAGTAGGACTGGCAGCACGAAGAGAGTCCGACTCCGGGTCGGGAAGAGCAGGAAGAGAGGACGCAGGAGGAGAAGGCAAAGGGGCACGCAGAGGAGCAGTGGACGGACGCAGAGACATCCGGTGCGTGCCAGGGACAGGAGGAGGACGCTGACGCGAACCACGGCCACTAGTGCGAGTAAGACGGACAGGCGACGCAGGGCGAGACGCAGGCTCACGACGCTCAGCCAGGCCTCCAGTAGGACCAGTGTAGGGAGAAGGAGCGGGCAGTGTGGAGGCCGGCTGTAACTGTAACTGGGACGGGACAGGCTGTGGACACTCTAAGGGAGGAGGAGGACGAGTAGAAGGCGGGAGACCAAGAACCTGCTGAAGGAGCGGAACGAAGTACGGCCGAGGCCGCGCGGCGACTCCAGACACAGCAGGGACAGCACCAGTACCCCCAGTGGCAGCACCAGCGCCAGCAGCACCTCCAGCTCCAGTACCTCCAGCAGCACCAGTAGCACCCCCAGCAGGACCGCCTCCAGGACCGACAGCAGTAGCCTCAGCGCCAACACCCTCAGCAGCTCCAGCTCCAGACGTACCCGCAGGCCCAGCAGCTCCAGTACTCCCAGTACGAGCACCTCCGGGACCCGCGGCACCAGCGCCCTCAGCAGTCGAAGAACCTCCAGCTCCAGCAGCACGCCTCCAGCGCCGGGCAAACCACTCTCGCAGCTCCTGTGGAGAGAGTGGCTCCCGCCGAGACAAAGCACCCGGAGAACCTCCAGGCTCAGCACCGCCAGACGCCACACGAGCAGGCCCAGCTCCCTCAGGCTCCGCACCCCCAGGCTCAGCACCTCCAGGCGTAGCACCCCCAGGCTCAGCACCCCCAGGCGTAGCACCCCCAGGCTCAGCACCCCCAGTAGTAGCACCCCCAGGCTCAGCACCCCCAGGCTAAGCACCCCCAGGCGTAGCACCCACACGCTCAGCACCCCCAGAGTCAGCACCCATAGGCTCAGCACCCTCAGCAGCACCAGAGTCACCAGTAACCTCGACAGGCTCGACTGCGTCTACCTGGGACACACCTGAAGGGGCAGGACCCTGAGGGGGGAGGGGGTCTACCGGGGGGGGACCTGGCACAAGGAAGAGCGGTGGCAGGGGGAGGGACGGAGTGCGGTAGGGGAAGAGACGGTAGTAGGGGACCGACTCGTCAAACGTGACGTCCTGGGAGGACAGAACACGGCGAGAGGTGGGGTGGTAGAACTGCCACCCTGGCGCGTCAGGGGGGAAGCCAAGGAAGACGCAAGGAGCAGCACGAGGGGACAGCTTGTCCGCAGACAAGTCGCGGACAAACGCCCGAGATCCCCAGACACGGAACGCAGACGCATCGCCAACCTTCCCCGTCCACAGCAAAGCTGGGGAGGTCTCCGGCATGGAGACCCTGGGGTGAAGGTTGATCTGATGCGCCGCGTACCGAACCGCAAACGGCCACAGAAAATGGGGGGCAGCCGCATGCATCATGGACGTACGGGCGACGTCCATGACCATGCCA